ATAACGCAAAAGTTAATAATTCACATACATTTTATGATATGGGGTTTTTTATCAGAATGTTAATATGGGATCTAAAGTATTTCTCACTTGCAATTAATGATGAACGTGAATATTAGTTAAAAATCAAAACATTGGCATTATGWTCACAAAGGGATAGGTAGGTGGCTGAAACCAGAACACACAGAGTGCATTTCAATAAAAAAACACATGCATTTTTTTACAACCACCAAACATGTCCTGCCGAGATTCTACAAATTCTCAGTAGAAAAAGAAGTCAAATTGAACTACGGTCTGTGAGATTTGGAGACAAATAGTGTATGCAAGAAGGAAATTATTTAATTGCCAAGGGATGTAACTGGTTTCTTCAAATTTTTAATCTCCTCTAGAAAGTAAAACAGACCAGGCATATATGTCTTCCACATAAATGCTACTGTCTCAYGCTGTTCAGCACTTCACATTTCCCTTCTTCATCACCAGTTATCATGTTCTTASTGAAGGAAAACTGTTCACATCATCTTCATCACCTGTCACTGTTTAATTTGCTATCTGTTTATTTGCTAATACTAACACCTAACAGTCGGAATGAAACCCTCTCCCCGCTGAAATTAAAGAAAAAATAAAACAAAACAGCAAACCAAACCACCTCCACAATTAGCTTTAGGAGGACCAGAATTTGCACTTCTAATCTCCCCAAGGTCTAGTAGCCCAGGGAACAAAAGTATAAAAAAACAGCTGGGGCTGTACATGCTGGGACTTTGCTAAACACATAAAACAGCATAGGCAGGCTCATCCTTCTAATCTCTTTGTCTCATTTCCCTCTTTTCTCTTATGGTCTTTAATTCTGTATTTTCTGCCGATGACTACTCCTCTCCCATGTCAGTTGGTTGATMCCCATCCATTTTTCCTCCTCCAAATCTGAAAGAGCTTTTCCAGAAACTGGAATACTCAGCTGTTATTGATAACAGATGCTGCTTCTGCCAAGAMTAGTTTTAGCCCTTTTGTTTCATTCCCTCTTCTTTTTATCTGTCAAGGTCTTTTTTGTTTTGCTAGTTTCTTTTCCTGTCTGGTGTCCCACTCTTACATTTTTCTCCCTTCAAAACTATCCTTCTCTCACCACTTCCCTCATTTGTACTTTCCCGCTTCTGCTGCTTACACCCCATTTCTCCCCTGGAGTATCTCAACTCCTTTCTTTTTCTGCATTTCCCCCTCTGCCACGGTTTCACGTCCCTCACTCCCCTGTGCCTTCAGGTATGCAGCTGTATGTGCTGCTCGATGGCAGATCCTGGGAGGAGCGGAACAGCCCAAACGCCCATGGCTGGCCAGAGGAGCTGCGGGTGTCCTGCAGCTCACAGACAACTCCCAGCCCACCTTCTCCAGCCTGTCCGGAGTGAAGGGCACTGTAAATAGTTACAGCACAGTGAAACCATAAAATTATGGCAGTAGTCTAAAAAAAGGCTACCTTATTCAGGTAAAACATTTAGTAAGTGCCACAAATTGAGATTTTCTTTTTTTTTTTTTTTTCTATAATGTTCCATTGTATGTCTACAGCTATGTTGTGCACTAGCACAAACAAAATTGAAGTTAAAGCTAGGTGATATGTTTTTAACCATCTTCATTGTTGAAAGTGAACAAGGAAGCAATAACAATTCTCAGTGGCTCACTCATCTTTAMAAGTGGTTTCTTCCCAGCAACATGGTAATGCTCTACCCCCAAACTTTTTCAAAATTGAAAATACATACCATGTGTTATATAAAATACATTAAATTACACAATAAAGCACAGAGATATTTTAATCAATTCAATACTCTGGTGAACATCTGCGAGTCAAATAAATGCCTGGAATAYGAACTTTCCTCTGTCTAATTGCATTTTCTTCCCAGAATTACAGAAAACATGATACAGAACAGAACTACGTGTCTYTTTCAGGGACAGACAAACATAATTTAAGCCTAATGTTCGGGGTCACTCACCCACTCCAAGGCGGAATCAACTATGATTTTTCCTAGTGACACCAACACTGATTGTGCCTCTAGAGGCTTGAACAGCAGCTTGTGTGCTGAAGCCCTGGTGAGGTGAGAATCACTGAGCCAACAGAATTACTAGCTTTGCTTAGAGTTGAGCACCTGATTAAATGTCAAATCACAGCCAACACACCCACCCCCTGTGGTGAAGTCCCAAACCTCACAATGCACAGCAAGGCTCACAAGTCAGGAACATAATTCCTCAACTTTTAAAATTCTGATCATTTAGTTGTTGTACCTTGAAAATTAATTTTACAAAAAYACATGAGGACATTCAAGCATTACCTTCTCCTAGGAAATTTCAAGGAAAAAACCCTGCTCTCTCTCTAGTTTTTCGCTGCAGCACAAAAGACAACCCAGTACCTGCTAGCCCCCGCATCACTTGCACTGCAGTATCTGCATTTGTGGCCCAAACTTTATAAATGCCTCTCCTCACAGTGCACAGACTGGCTCTGATGAGCCCAAATCTCTTTCCTCCAGCCCTGATCAGAGAACTAACTTTACAGCTACATTTCAGAGGAGAATCAGCGCATTTTGAGCTTCCYGTTACATTCATTTCCATTAAGAAATGTAAGGAACCCTGATGCCAGTGTACTCCAAAGTGTGTAAATAGTTATGTATGTAACACAGATGCTTTTTTAAAAGTAGCTTGTTACAAAAAAAAAAAAAAAGTTATTTTTAAAAATACAGAAAAGTTACTGGCAAGTTCTAATACTGAGTGCAATTCTTATTCAACATGCAGGAAGCAGGTGGCTGTGGCACTGGGCTGCTTGCATTTCTCACCAACCCACACTACACTGTGCAGGAGCTATTACCCTGCACAAGAGGAACAGTTAATCTCTTTCTGAAGACATGTGAGTCTTTTGCGAGTGACCTTTCATTAAATTCCAAATTAGAAAAGTCACCATTACTCACAGAAAAAAAAGTAATCAGAGTTTTGAAGTCTTTTTCTGTGTAATAATTTTTATGTGTTTGCACATGTGCTTCATTGTTAGTTAGCAGATTTCTTTCTGCAAATTAGTAATTTAAGRAACTCCTTGCAGATTTTCTTCCTCAAAAATAAAATTCTACTGAATGAACGTCAACCTGTTAAGTTTGCAACTTTAGAGAAACTATGAGTAACAGAAATGACAAGTCTGGAAATCTGTGTGGTCTTGAAGAGTTTCTTTTTTTTCCTCATTCATGTTTAAGAAGGCATTTGTACACTTAGGTAGCCTGACAAAATCTTAAAGTGATTAAGATTCAGGGATGGGCCTTCATGACCTTTATGAATTTCTAGGAATATCRTCCAAGACCAAAAATGAAAATATACCAATTGCATTCTGCATTACTAAGCATTTCAACATCTCCAATAGTTCAACATTTGGAGTAAGTTCTAATGCCTGCTTATAAATAAAGCTGAATGGTTTTGCTCCCATTTCACTGCCACTAAAGAACCCAACCGAGAGGAGCTAGTTACTAGACACACATTAAAGTTGAGAAGGTGACAGTATGTTTTCACCCACTGTTGTTAAGGGTCTCTGTCTGCACAGCCACGCAGACCTATTACAAACAAAAAAAAGCATCATTTATGGTATTTGAAGTCTCCCGTAAATCTAAGTTAAGTGCAACTTAGACTCTCATCTAGGACTACTTAAAGTGCAATTCCTTTGTGTACACTCCTGCTTACAGGGAAAGCCAGCTCCCAGCACCAGCAGTATCAGATTCTTGCAGCATCCATGACACTTGTAAGCATTCAGTGGTCAGAACACCACTACATATCCTTCAAATGACATGGACCACTGAAGCTGGAAAGGTGTCTTCACTGAACCAAGCCCGCTGGTATCKCAGCAATCCACCAGGACACGAGCATCAGCTTGCCCCCGCGGCGTGCAGAATCTCGCCTGAGGAGTTGGTGGGGTTTGCATTTTTGAAAGTCATCACTTTTGAGTATTGATATGCAAAGGGTAGGCACCAACTTACAACAGAGGCATGTCAAAAATACTTTACACTGCAAAATACTTGTGTTTGATTTTTTTTTGATTTCMGAGTGAGAATCAGTTAGACAACAAGGTGATAAGCATAACACAACACTAACATAGTGAGCTAGCCAGACACAATAAACTCCAAAGTTAAACCATATGGGTACCCGTTAACGAGGAAGTATAAAGAACCCTCTGCATTAATGCTAGTAGAGTGTATTATCTAAAGTATTCATTAATGTACTATTTTTTTTCTTGCTGTCAACTTATTAGTAATATGCACCTATTTGTTTAAAAGCTTATAATAAATGGAATAATATGAAGTGTGGTTTGATTTCTGTACTATGGCACTGTATAATACCAAAACYGGAAGATGGTATTATGTTTCCATTTTTGAATGAAGTACAAATGTATTTTAAAATGAGATAAATAAATTTCGTGTATGTTTACTACTTGTTAAACGTAGTGCGGTGCGTTCAGTTCCTAACACCAACCTCATAATGTCAATCTTTGACATCATGATTCATTACCAAATTACATGAAAATAACTGACATGTCATAGATGTAAGGACTATGAAGTCACAAGCTCCACACACAACAGGGACACCACCCCACCATCAGCAATATCAGGGTGGTGATGATGCCAGATGATGCCAGTTATTTATGAAAATAACAAATTAGATTTAGGACTTGGCTATTACAGCTTAAAACGCCCTGAAGACGTAACTCCTTCTYAGGCAGTAACGTTGTGGGAGAAAAAAAAAATAATTACGGCCTATAAAAAACAACAGATTCCCAAAGCGCGGGAGGCCAGAAGGCCGAGGGGAGGGGACGAAAAGTTTGGTGGTACAGGGGGCGGGCGGCTCGGCCCCGCCGCCGCCCCCCTTGAGCCGCTCCGGCCGCCGCACCGCCCCCGGCCCCGGCCCCGCGGGGTCCGTGCCCGCCGGGACTCCCCGCTCCCGCAGCCCCCGCGCCCAGAAGCGTCCGTGAGGGCAGCCCCCTCCCCGCCGCCCCTCACCTGCTGGCCAGGCTCTGCCGGCAGTGCTGCCTGAAGGGCATCAGGTGGTAGTTCATGGCGTCCAGCAGCAGCTTCTGGCAGACGGGGTCGGTGCGCATGAAATCCACCGACTGGACCCGCTCCACCAGCTCCGGCGCCGGGATGAGGGCGAAGCGGAGGCGCTTCATCAGGTCCGGGGCGTACTGCATGCGGGTCTCCCGGTCGTGCTCCAGCCAGAGCACGGACATCTGGAAGAGCGCCAGCTCCGACTCGACGGGGGGGGGCAGCGAGTCGAGGAGGGCGCGCATCTCCTCGAAGTTGAGCAGCAGCACGTCCTCCACCAGGTACTTGTTGGCCAGCTTCTTGGTCTCCTCCAGGCCGTGCAGGGCGGCGATCTTGCACACCTGCTTGTAGTTCTGCACCGAGATCTGGTCGTTGAGGAACTGCACGCACAGCTTGGTGACCTGCGGGATGTGCAGGATCTTGCTGACCGACAGCACCTCCTCCACCGTGTCCAGCGAGAGGGTCACGTTGGCCGTGTACAGGTACTCCAGCACCAGCCGCAGCCCGATGGACGAGCAGCCCTGCAGCACCAGGTTGTTGATGGCCCGCGGGCTGGCCAGSAGCTTGTCCTCCGGGGAGGAGGATGGGGTGCCGGGCTCCTCCTGCGTCTGCGGCGGCGGCGGCTCCTTCGGAGGACCTCCCAGCCCGTCCTGGGCGCCGGGCCCCAGCCCCAGGGCGTGGGGGTGCCCGCCGCTCCCGCCGCCGCTGGAGAACAGGGATCGGAAGTACTGGGAGCAGGAGGCCAGCACGGCCTTGTGGCAGTGGAACTGCTGGCCCTGGGCCGTCAGGGTCACGTCGCAGAAGAGCTGCTTCCTCCACAGCAGGTTCAGGCCGTGCAGCAGGTTGTCGCTGTGGCTGGGGTCGAAGGTGGAGGTCCTGTCCCCGGATCTGGACATGGCGAGCGGCCTCCGGCACACCTGCCTTTTAAACCCTCCTCCAACCTGGGCAGAGGGGTGGGGAGGAGAACGGGGTGGGGGGGACACACGGGACGACACAACAATAAACACAGAGCTTTAGAGGCCCGGAGGGCGCATCCCGGCYGTGTGCGCAAGGGTGGCGGGGGGCGCAGCCGGGGGACGGGCTCCCCTGTGCCCGCTGAGCCGAGCCGCCCCCCCGCCCCGGATACGGACGGGCTCCCTCGGAGGGGCTGCAACTTGGGAGGGCTGGAGGAGATTTATTTTTTAGCCTCTCCCCTCTTCACCCCCGCCCGCCTTTCTCCTCCTCCTCGGTGCAAACCGGGCAGTTCTCCAGGGGAGGAGCAAGGAAGCCGGGGACATTTTCAAAGCTGAGCCACCCCGCCAGGTCCCCCCTCACAAACATCCAAGCAAATAATCACATCCCAAATAGCTGCCCCCCCACCTCCTTCCAACTCCGCGATGCCCAGAGAAACTACCAAGTGACTGAAACTCTGCCGGGCAGGCGAGCAGCCCTGCCCGCCCCCCTCTCCACCAGCYCCCGGTCCCCTCCGGCCGCTTTGGCAACTCGGCGGGGCCGAGACCCGCTTCCTCCCCGGGGGACGGCGTGCCCGGAGCGGGGACCCCGGCGCCGGCTGGCACCGAAGTTGAGTCCCTCGCCTCGGYCCAACGCGGGGGTTGCAATACTTCGCACCCCCGAGCGGGGCCGGGGGGGATGGAAGCGGCAGCCCCGGGCCCGGCGAGGGGCCGCCCKGCGCTGTCCTGCCCGGTTCGCTTCTCCTCGCAGCAGACGGCGCCGCGGCCGTAACTCCGGTAACTACGTGAAGTTCAAGTTGGGGGAAGGACGGGGGAGGCGGCAGTGGGCGGCGGGGAGCGGGGCCGTGCCCAGCGGCCCCCCGGTCCGGCCGG